AGGAGATTTTATTGCACCAATAATAATTGAGAAATGTACAATTGATCCTAAAGTTCTAGCAATCTTTTTTCTCACATTATGAAAATGTATAGGAAATATATGGGGAATATCGAAACCCTCCTAGTAGAATTGTTGATGAAGTAGGATGCCAAAAATCGAGTCCAAAACAAAAAAAGAGAGAAAAACGAGAAAAACCAAAACAGATACAGGTGCAGGTAGCACCGCGCGCCACCTCAGGGTGCCTCGACCTTCGGCGTTCTACCCAAAATAATTTTTTCTGTTCCAAGTTGTTTTCTCCATCTCGAACTCTTCTTCAAGTCCAATACCAATTTCTAATTCCCAATGGACTTCCAAAATAGAACTTCAATTTGACATAGGACTCCAATAGCATTTCAAACTGAATTCTTCTTGACGTTCACTTCAATTAGAATTCATCAATTACTTCAACAAGGAATTCAGGTCACATCCAAATTCTAACAATCTCCACATTGACATGAATTTCACCGCAATGAACAAAGGTCCAAAATATTCTCCACTTGGAGAAGAAAATTTGTCTGTAAAGAATGAACTTACTTTTCAATAATAACCAAAACTAATTTTCTCCAACAAACGCAAAATACTCCACCTCTTCTAATGAAATCCAAGCACTAATTTGCAGAATTACCTCAAATTTCCAAAAATCATAATATTTTAAAATTCACCAAACTAGGCTATAACACACCCCCAAAGCATAATCTAACCCAAATGGTTTTAAAGAAGGCTCCTTACTAGATTGTACACCTACTACGCTGAAAGCATGCTCAACAAAATCTGCATCCACATACCTTTTACCACTGGGTCTGTCCCTAGCAATTGAATACAATGGCACCACAGGTGATGGTGGCAAAGCGGTATTATCCATATCTCATGAACTCCACTGAACAGTATTCTTCAAATCCGACCCTTTACGAGCTCCTAAAGGCATTGTACCAAACTGAATGTCCCCATCTGGATTCTGAACCTGTGTTGATTAACTCATCTAGATTCTGCACGACCCTACAAGATGTATAACTGAGATATTTTATGTCCCTCCAATACAATTTGGGCACCTTTACAACCCCTCAAAACTCAACATCCACCAAAAAACTCATAAACCTTTAAATTAAGGATAGACAATGAGATGAGATTCTTCTTAAAATTTGGAACATGTCGAACCTGGCCAAGTCTTCTAATTATCTCATCTAATAGCTTCAATCTGACCGTACCAATTTCAGTAACTCGACAAGGTGTTTTGTCTCACATAACCCAGACACATTTATAATAAACAAGTCCTTATTAGGACACATAGGAAACACACACGCTAAATCCAGAATCCAGTCCTTCTCTAGTTTAGACGCAATATCAGAAATAGCCAAGAGATCTCATTCACTTACAATGTTCTCTGCGATGTCTGCTTCACCTGAAATCTTTGCTTGCTTCCTATATCGACTTGTAGCCAACCTTTCTTTATTCTGCAATTTGTAACAATCCTACTTCAAGTGCTGCTTTTTCTTATAGAAGTTACAAATCTGATTACTGAACTTAGATTTCGATCTGTCCCTTCCAGAATCACCATAAGCAACAAGGCCTTCTCTTTCTCTGAACTCTGAAACTAGATGCTTCAACTTCTTTTTTGAAAACAAAGCATCATACACCTCCTCTATGGTGAGAGTATCATGACTCTATAAGATCGTGGCTCTAAATTAAGAAAACGAAGCGGACAGCGAACACAATAGGATCAAGGCCAGATCTTTTTCATCGTAATTTACTTCCAAAGTTTTCAAATCAATGACGATCTCTTTAAATACAGCCAGTGATCTTCCAATGATCTTCTTTCTACCATTCGATGAGAGTATAAACGCTGTTTGAGATGCAACTTGCTTGTCATAAAAAGTCATGTACAATTGTTCCAACTTCAACCGTAAAGTAGCTCCTGAACCCTCCTTCAAAACGTCTTGAAGAATGATATTCGATAGATGAAAATGAATGTGAGAAATTTCCTTTTTGTCATTCCGTAATTTCTCCTCCATGGTTAAAGTTGCTGGTATCTTGTCAATTTCGAACAACGCATCATCCAAATCCGGCTGTGTAAGTACTGCACGCATCTTAACCTGTCATAGAAAAAATCTAGTGCTTCGATCCAAAAGAAAAATGTCATACTTCATGGAAGTCATCAACAAGAAAAAACCTCGAACAAATCAAACCCTGTGTTTTTGCGGAACTGCTGAACCTGGAGCTCTGATACCACTTGTTGTGAAACAAAACAGACACTAGAATTGCTCTGATACCACTTGTTATGTTAATTATCCCCAAGATATCTGGTACTAATTGTTAGGAATTCAAGGATCATGTATTGCTCGATACTACTGGATATGAAACTAACCACCAGATTGAGATGTTGAAATTATATAGTACAATAATGAAGTATTTTATCAAAAGCAAAAGAATAAAAGAAGACAAGAAAATATGGTAGAGGAATTATGAGATTTTATTGCACCAATAATAATGGAGAAATATACAATTGATCCTAAAATTCTAGTAATCTATTTTCTCATATTATGAAATTGTATAAAAGAGCATAATATTTATAGGGAACATGTAGGGGACGTCCAACCCTTCCTAGTAGAGTTGTTGATGAAGTAGGATGCCAAAAAATCAAGTCCAAAACGAAAAAGGAGAAAAAAAGGTGAAAAATCGGAATGGGTACAGGTGCAGGTGGTGCTGGGCGTTCTGCCCAAATTTTTTTTTTTTTTGCAATTTGTTTTCTCCATTCCGAATTCTTCTTCAAGTCCAATACCAATTTCCAACTCCCAATGGGCTTCCAAAATAGAACTTCAACTTGACATAGAACTTCAGTAGCATTCCAAACTAAATTCTTCTTAACATGCACTTCACTTACTTCAACAAGGAATTCGGGTTATACCCAAATTCTAATAGGATGAATAAGTGACTAGTAAATCTATGCAATTATACAAAGACATGTAGAAGAAAGCTCATCGGAAGTCCATTGGCATTGCTTATTATTTGTTGAATGAAAGCAAAAACGATTTCAAAATTTTCATATAATATGCAGACCACACAATATTAAATTTAATCTAAAGGGGTTCTCACTTCCTAGATAATAAAAGCATCATTAATGTTGCTTGTGGGGTACTATCAGGTGCTAGGAAATATTGCTAAATGAATATCACTTAAAAATTCATAATCTTACAAAGAATGTTGATGACTATTTTTCTCACCATCAGTTATAACTAGAGAATAATTTATTACTTGTTGGAAGAAAAAAATTTCATCAGTTACAGAGAATCTTAACCTCTGAAGTCTTACCACATGTTTCTTTTTGGGATAACATACAACAACATTTAGAGATGCTCTTATAGAACGAAAGTTACGTAGTTTGACCTTAACAATACCTAGAGGGGGGTGAATAGATATTTTACGCGGAATTAAAATCAATCACGAATTAAACAGCAATAAGTCACTTTTAATTCTCATCTAGATGGTTAATCATGCAAGTCAAATTATCCTATGTTGAATTACTGCAGTTTGCATATCATAAACAATAAATAATAAAGCAGTAAAGAACACAAGAATTGTTCACGGAGAAACTCACTAGGGAAAAACTCCGGGCACTTTGTCAGTCAACAATCCACTATGAATGATATGTAACTTACAGTCTACCAGCCTGGACGACGACATGTACTATCTGATCTCCTGACTGCAATTCCAACAACTTTCTTGGATTCTGTGCTCCGCACCACTCCCAACTGCAGTTTCTAAAACTCTCCTGAATTCTGGTCTCCTGCAGCAACTCCTAACTTTGTGAAACCGTTTATCTCATGTGGATCCACGAAGAACACCGCGTTCTTCACAGACTGGAACTTCAGTCAAACTTCCTCGATATTCAGAACTTTGATCAGATGTAGAGGAACAACAATTTGATAATTGGATTATGGAATTGATATTTTTCTCTCCAAAACACTCACAGATGAAGGTTGAAAGAATCGAACGTAAATGATTCACTCTGTAGATGTTTTCTTTGTTCAACCTCATCAAACACGTTCAGTTCTGTTTTGGTATTTAAAGGTAGGGTATAAAACAGATGGGCCATGGAAAAAGCCTTTAAAATGTGAAATAAAAATTTCCCAAATAAAGTCGTCGCTCGAGCGAGGGCTCAGCGACAGTCGAGCGACAGACTGTTGCTCGAGGGAAGGCAGGGCGACAGTCAAGCGATGGAGTTTCTGCTTTTGTAGCTCGAGCCAAACCTTGGCGACAATCCAGCGATGGAGTTTTCCTCTTTTTGTCATTCTCGAACCCTAGACCTAAACATTCTATTTTCAACATATTTGCACATTACTCCTTGAACTTTTACAATACGTCAATTTCAGTCATTTTGTTCACAGTCGCCAATTACAAATAATCTAAAACCTAACACAGAAGATGAACTTGAAGAGGTTATTTACGCCATCCACTAATGCAGCGGTATGGTACTACTTAATTTCACATATAAATGCATGCATATATTTAACCTGTCTTGTAAGCTCAAGTCTTACTTTCCGTTTAGCTTATGAAATACACAAGTATGCAGATACATTTGAAAACTTTTACAATCAAAACCTGACTTGTTCATGTATGTTATGAATGAAACCTCTTTAATGTGGGAGGATGACTATGATTAGGAAAACAATCCTTGGAGAATGTTAATCAAAATGATGTTCTATCTTCTGCAAGATTCATTCGAGGTTCAAATATATGCATACATAGATACAAACATTTCCGAGAAACTCATTGAAAAATAGTTTGTTGAACTGCTTACCCTCATGTACAACCTTAGCAACCTAGTGCACGAATTGAGAACTAGACATTGTTAACCATTCTTTTGCAATGATTAGACATTATATCAATGAGAGAAGCAACCCTATATGTTTTTTATCTCACAAAAACTCATTTGTCACCTAAAATAAAGGTGATTTCAGACTACAATGGGGTATATAACTTTTAGCATTGATGGAGAGTCCGAGGAATTACCTCTTGTATATATGCAAGAGAAGATATATGTTTATGTAAATCTTTGGTGGATTTGCTAATGAATATTGAACGAAACACTAACCAATAGCTCTGTCTTCTACAGAATGCTGGTTTTGTAGTTGGACTTGTACCTCAAATTCGAAAGTTGTTGATTGGTGACTCAGCTCCTGTTCATGTTATCCAAGATACTGCACTTCTCCTTGGGTATAAAATCTCTCTTATTTATTTCTCTGAACTCTGCATTCCTACAATAAAACGTGTAAATAGGCATGCATGACTTGCTTGTGCATAAGTTATAATTATGGAAACACATTTAGCAGATCACATGATCACAGAGTTGTTATCTACTGAATGATTTGAAGGGATTTATTTGGAAATATCAAGCCAATGGTTGAATTATTGGCATGGGTATGATGAAAACATGAGAAGATCAGTGACTCTCTTGATATGCCGAGTTACTAAATTAAATCAAATTAGCTAAATTATCTTTCTAACAGAAGATCTGTTGCATTCCTACACATAATTTTGCACAAAAGACACAGAAAAAGTATAATCTAAATACACTGGTTATGATCTTGAAATTGATGCACCAAATTGACTAGTTTAGCCTTTTTAAGACAAACGGATGAGAATCACGAAGTCATTTTCTTCTTAATTTTTTGAGTTTAAGGTGTATCAGTATCATGCATCAATTTCAAGCCTTTCCATCTTCAACTGTCTTGGGCAGATAAAGATTGTTTTCTTGATGTCATCATACATTGAAAATGGCTATCTGTCATAAATTCATAACGAATGAAGCTTCTAACAATTTTTTTCTTGAATGCATAACTTGATTATAATTGATGCAGGTTCTCAGACTCAGCATTGAATGATACAGGGGTGGAGCTATTCCGGCTGTCACACTGATAATGCGAGGAAACCTTTTAAGGGGTATATGTTAAATCAGTTTCTAAACATGGTTATTTTTGGTTTAACCTGTCAAGTTTCCTTTGGAAAAGAGTTACTTCTCATTATCTCTGTATTCTCTTTCAGGCTTACAGGTTCAGGGATCCGTTATTTTAGGCATGATAATTATTCGATATGTTGCCCTGCCTTTGCTAGGCATTGGCATTGGCATTGGCATTGTTAAAGGGGCAATTCACTTCGGTTTGGTGCATCATAATCCGTTATATGAATTTGTTCTTTGCTTCAGTTTGCACTTCCACCAGCAATGAACATAGGTTGGTTAAAGCTACAATCATTCTCGTTAAACCTTTCTGTTATGGATTTGGGCTTCCTCCAGTTCAAGATCAATCCAGAATTACAGAAAAGAAAAATGGCACCAGCAATGCAGAAGAAAAATGACAGATATAAACCTGCAAGAAGACAGACCAGCAGAACAGAATTGGCAACAGGAAGAAATCTTCTTCCTCAGTCTTTTATTCACTAAAGGACTTTACATTCAATCACATGAATCAATCACCATCTCAGGTGATTCACCATACAAAATCAGAAATCTAAAACACTATAGAAAAATTTCTACCAGATTGATTTTCAGAAAACTTCTTTTCTCACAACCTCACTTTCTCTCTGATTTTCTCTTTATCAGAACTCTTTCATTCTTTCACAGAGATTCACACACTCTCTCTCTGATTCGAGCTCACTATACAACACTACCTAAGGCTCCTATTTATAGACATAAAGGATCCTCATTTCAGTTACAAGCCAAGGCTCCATCTAGTTGAAGATTCCAACCGAAATCAGTTGATCAAACCAATAACAGAACAGCTCCTCTTCAACATATTTTATTCCAACAGCTTTTGCAATAGCTAAGGAATCTTCAAGGAATCACTTCTCTACACTTTCCTATTTTGTTCTTGTTACACCCCATCCTACAATTCAAAGTCAAGATTTTAAAGTCAAGGGTTGAATTGTCAAAGTAATGGTCAATAAGGATTTAATTGGAATAAATCAATTGTTTGGGACTATTTTCTTATAATTGAAACGTATAAGGGTTAAGATGGATTAGAAATTAGAAGTTGAGGACTTACTTATATTAATTGGAAGTCAAGAGAGGAAAAGAAGGGAAAAAGGAAAAGGAGAAGGAGGAAGAAAAAAGTGAGGAAGCTACTAATGAAATTCGGAGTTTGGGCTTTCAATTTCTTCTTCTATTTTGAGGTAAATTCGAAATATTTGTTGGGTTGAGTTTTGTGGTGAAATTTGAAGGTTTTTAATGTATAGCTTATACTTGAAAAATATGATAATGGAGCCGTCTATTTGAGCATTTTTAACTATTTATTCTAGTGGATTAAAATAAATGATAATTGGATATTAGGGTTTTGATATATGGGGTATAATTCAAAAATTTGGGAGATATGGTATTTTTGTTATTTTCTTTGTGATTGTTACGTGACATTAAGATGGATTAGTTGGAAATAACTGATTTTGTTTTTCAGTTCTTAGTTGAATTATGTTGAGATTATAAGAAAGGGGTATTTGATAAGATTTATGTATTTAGTTAAGATAAATTTGGAATGATGAATGATGATGATTATTGACATGAAAATATTGTTGAATCTCGCCGGAGCAGCTGGGAAAAGTTAGTGTTAACGAGTTATGAAAGCAGAGTGATTCAAAAATTAGTGAACGTATGTTTAAGTTAGCCAAATGAGATTAAAATATTAAGTCTCATCTTATTGCTTATTGAGGGAATTATATATTTCAGTTCGATGTTAAGCATGAGTATTATGGTGAAATTCCTTGTAACTTTATATTGATAGAATTGAAGTGGTTTGTGTGTGATCATTTCAGGAGGGGATCTGGACGTGTGAACAGCATACCAGCCCCGTTAGTCCAGCCTACATCAGTAAGTGGAGAACATATTTTTCAAAAAAGAAGATTTTTAATTTATGAACTTACAATCATGTTTATTTAATATGAATGTTGAAATGATTCCCAATTTTTATAGAAGTATATTAGTTACATGACATGTCTTATTTTCAAGAAATTAGTAAAGGAACATGATTATCTTGATCTATCAGAAAAGAACCGATATAGCCATCTTACTCGAGTGCACTGAGGGGCTACAGCAGTGTACTAGAGTCGTGTATTTAACTCCTATACAATGAGGGGCTGTGTATAAGGACAATTATGTTATTTCCACTTTATGCACTGAGGGGCTACAGCAGTGTATAAAGATGACTCTTATCCGCTGAGGGGCTACGACCGTGTGTAAGGGTACCCATTATGCACTGAAGGGCTACAGCCGTGCATACAGATGATTACGTTTATTTCCACTTCGTGCACTGAAGGGCTATGACTGTGTATAGAAGTGTGATACAACAATTTATGTGCATATGACTTTATAGTTCTCCGATCATCAGCAATTGTTTACAAGGGATATGTATGTTTTGAAGTGATTATCCAGTGTACCGAGGATTATCAGCTTTCAGCTTACAATTTAGCTTATGGATTTTAGATTATGGTTTTAGCTTACTGAATTCGACTAGGGATTTTTGTATCTAAATTTACCAATGGTCAGGATGAAATATTGTAAACTAAACTGCATTACTTTTATATTCTTGAGAAGTAGTTATGATGCATAGTGATATAGATGTTTTTGAGTGGATGAATGATTGATATTATGATATTGGTATATTGGTGTTGGGAAAATTGTTATGGTTATAGGATTGAAAATAGTTCCATTTTTAAAGGAGACTTTGTCAAAATTTTCGAAAAAATATATTTATTTGGTCACCGAAGGCCATACAATCAAAGTATAGTTTTTTTTTTTTTTTGCCTTGGTGATGGGTCCAGAGCCAAGCTGGCACTTATTGTTGGCGCTGTAAAATATACTCAAAAGACTCGATGCCTCTATGTGAGAGGTTCTCTCATTATATAGGACCAAAAGAACAACTAAAAAAGGAAGCAATAAATTACAATATTAATTAATGGTAAAAGCAATCTATCTATGTATAATCGTAATCTTCGACAATCTTCAGAATCTTATTCAATCTTCCTTGATCTTCGGAATCTTATTCAATATTCTTTGACATCCCCCCTCAAATTGATGCTGGTGAAAGTATCAATTTGCAATCATGAACTGACGACGATGACAATACTTGTGCCCACTAAGAAGAAATCCAAATAAAAAAACAACCAACTATGAACATTACTGACGATGAGATACCAAGAACAACAAATAACTACTCCAAAATCACTCCAAGAATGCTCCAAAGAAATCACTAGAAACAATGAGAAACCACGAGAAACCAAAGAGAAACGACGAGAAACACTGAATGCTCCAGCACACTGGATGCACTGAAGAAGAGTCACACGTTGACAGAAATTCAGTCAACCGTGGACGACCAGAAGAAACCCACACCTGAAAGGTTGAGTTATGACCAAAGAGAAACGAAGATACCACCACTCCAAAGATACTCCAGAGAGCTCACTCACTAAGAAGAATTTCCAAAGGAAATTGAAGAAGTGCGCCGACACACACAGCGAGCTCTTTCCGTCGGGAAAACTTAGTCGAACACGTAATTTGTGTTCTGGCAAAAGCTCGACACCAAAACACCGGCAAAAGAAAACCCAAAGATGATCCTCGTATGAGAATCTAAAACTACACAAGGATTTTTTGTTTTTTTTGCAGTCTCGTTGCAAGCCCAAAATTCCATAACCTACAATAATAAACCCAAAAGTCAATGACCTAAAACTACAGCAAACCTTAAAAGCCAAAATAATAGCCCATTACCCCCATTAAACTACAGCCCAGTCACCTAATAAATTAAACAGACCCAAGTGAAATAACAGCCCACACAAAGAAGCCCAAAAAGAAATTAATAAGGCAGCCCACTCCAAAACCAAATCTGTAACACAAAGCTCACATCGTTTCCTCAACCCATTACATAGGTACTAACCAATTAATTTCCCAAGGCCCAATTAATTAAATTCAGCCCAATCAAAACCCAATCAATTAATTAACCCAAATCAATTGCCCAGCTTCATCACCACATAGTCCCACCCCGACACTGTTGTTTTCAACCATTCTGTGAAATCAAATGCTGGAATCTCATCCACATCACCAGTGGATTCATAACCACGAGAAATCGACAGTTGCCCACCAAAGGAATACCGCACGCTGTCAATTATTCCAGTAGTCACCAACCTTAAGCTGCCTCCTTCACTGCCACATCGCAGGCCGTCTGGGGACACTTCCCCAAAATCGACAGTTGCCCGAGCAAAAACAGCTGCAGCCCGGACCTTCGGTTGGGGCTCAGAAAGTAGAGATGCACGAATAGCGGGGCATCTGCCTGCAAACCTATTATTTGTGCCTCTGCAAAATCTTCCCACATTTTTCCCAGGCACAAGCACAGCTACTGAAGAAATAGAAATAAAGGTTCAGTTTGGGCCTCTGGATTGTTATTTGTTTTTACTTCGAGTTGTTTTTTGTGCTTTCTGCGTATCCAAGCCGAAGTCCGAAGTCCCTGAAGAAGATTTGATTGTGTAAAAATTTTAAATCAAACGAGAATTCTTTTTTTAATACTAGAATAGAGTTTGAAAGCCTCCTTTGGTTAAAAGAAACATGAACTGGAAAAGAAAAACATTGGCTCAATTGGATGCAGACGGGACGGGAGGAGCAAATGCTCCTCCCGCCTGAGAAAACCCTATCAAGAAAAACCAAGAAAATTCTAAGGAATTGGCTCTGATACCATGTAAAATATACTCAAAAGACTCGATGCCTCTATGTGAGAGGTTCTCTCATTATATAGGACCAAAAGAACAACTAAAAAAGGAAGCAATAAATTACAATATTAATTAATGGTAAAAGCAATCTATCTATATATAATCGTAATCTTCGACAATCTTCAGAATCTTATTCAATCTTCCTTGATCTTCGGAATCTTATTCAATCTTCTTTGACAGGCGCACGACACGTATCGGGTTCATTAGGGGGACTTGGTATGGGTCGTGTCAGTTCTAGCTTTACCATTGTGTGATATTGGTATGTACACAAGAGAAATGATTATCCATAATTTTTGCCTCGAAATTAAGGCTTTCCTTCTTTTAATTTAGGTACTGTGTCTCAGTTATTTGGTGCTGGTGAGAGTGATTGCTCAGTTATCATGCTATGGTGTTATGCCTTGGCTTCAATTACACTCACTCTGTGGTCAACGATGTTCATGTGGATTGTAGCCTGAATGCACATCGGATTTTTAATATATTTCATCAATCTAAGTGGAATAAGAAAACTGGATTCCTTATTGGTTTGTTGGTTGGTCAAAACAAGAACCAGGTTTGCTCACATATCTGACTTGCATTTTTCCAATTGAGTTGTTAATTCACGAATTTTCTTTTCTTGATTCTGGAAAAGTAGAGGGATAGTCAAATTTTTAATATGCATCCTAACCTGTTGGCACGGGTCTCTGAATGAAAATACTCGTAGTTTTTTTTTCTTTAAAAACTAAACTAATATGAATAAAAGATATCTTATTCATGCTTGAAAATCCGTTTATAGCATTGCAGGTCTTAATTGAATAAAAAGAAAAAGGAAAACAAAAAATCTAGTTCAAAAGTATGCAAGAATAGTTTTGAACTCAACCGAGTTTTTTCCAAAGACTATTGGAAAATAATCAAATTAATTTATTTTCTCACTAGACTAGGTAATATACATCTGCCCAAAGAATTTGTCACGGAGAAAACTGGTACCCACGGACGTCGATCTTCATACATCAACTGAACTAGTCATTATCTGTTAGACCGTATTGCTCAGTGTTAGGAAACAAACAATATACCATAATCGATCTGATATCAATTAGTTGAGAATCGGACCTAATAATAAAGATGAGAAAATAAGAGTAATATAATATTCATGTGGATTGTATCATTAATGCACATCGGATTTTTAATATATTTCATCAATCTAAGTTTAATAAGAAAACTGGATTCCTTATTTGTTTGTTGTTTGGGCAAAACAAGAACCAGGTTTGCTCACATATCTGACTTGCATTTTTCCAATTGAGTTGTTAATTCACGAATTTTCTTTTCTTGATTCTGGAAAAGTAGAGGGATAGTCAAATTTTTAATATGCATCCTAACCTGTTGGCACGGGTCTCTGAATGAAAATACTCGTAGTTTTTTTTTCTTTAAAAACTAAACTAATATGAATAAAAGATATCTTATTCATGCTTGAAAATCCGTTTATAGCATTGCAGGTCTTAATTGAATAAAAAGAAAAAGGAAAACAAAAAATCTAGTTCAAAAGTATGCAAGAATAGTTTTGAACTCAACCGAGTTTTTTCCAAAGACTATTGGAAAATAATCAAATTAATTTATTTTCTCACTAGACTAGGTAATATACATCTGCCCAAAGAATTTGTCACGGAGAAAACTGGTACCCACGGACGTCGATCTTCATACATCAACTGAACTAGTCATTATCTGTTAGACCGTATTGCTCAGTGTTAGGAAACAAACAATATACCATAATCGTTCTGATATCAATTTGTTGAGAATCGGACCAAATAATAAAGATGAGAAAATAAGAGTAATATAAAAAATAATGAATCACACATGAATACAAGATTTATGTAGAAGAGGAGAATTTCAATATAACAAGAAACTAAAATTCTTTTGCAAGATTTGTACTCTCAATCTAAATCTACATAATTCTTTCAAGTTTCTAATGTATATAACAATGATCTAATTGTTATGTTGAGCCTTTGAAGAGCCTACACCTTATGGAATATATATAGGAGCCCATTCTTGGAGTTATAGATGAAGTAGAGTACAAAAATGCGGTAGAAATCAACAAAGAGACCTCTTCAAAACCGTTAGATGGCACCACGGGGCCATAGCTGACGTTGGGGGCACCGGCCTTCCTGCCTCCAAAGCAGGCTACTGATGCCTAGGCGCTGCGACTCGGAGCCCCATCTCCATCCCAATGCTTTTAAAACAATTTTCATCCATTCCTAAGTCTTCTTCCCGATCAAACTCCCAATCCGTGATGAAATTTGATCCCTTATTGAACCGGACTTCCAAACCAACATTATCTAAGCTTCCTCTATGAATCAAACTTTCAAATCACATGGAATTTAAATCACAACTTAACAAGTAGGATGAGAGACCCAACATGATTTGAATTCAGTTGTTTTGGTCTCATTTATGCACTTCAGGAATTCTACTTCTAAAGGACAAATGTAGAATATATGGGACAGTTATCCAGTGATTCCCTAGATATATTCCATTTACAAAAGCGATGGCATGCATTTGAACATAACCGAATGACAACCAAACATTGCATCAAGCTAAGTTTCAAATACCCAAACAAAGGAGGACTCATACTCACGAAATAGCAATGCACAACAATACAACATGTTTGTCTATGATGGTTCAGTATTGTAAATAGAGCAAAGGGAACAACTATAACGGCCAGTCCTATACATTGTGTCAAATGTTAGCGTGTCTCCAAAGTACTTATAATTCATCCTAAAGTTGAACCGGCCCAAAAAAATGTTGCTATGTGCATTATCCAGATCATTTGGATAGCATAAAAAAGATCAGGATCCTCAGCCTTTATATTCTCCATGTATAGATCCCTACTTCCATTAGTCATTTGCTTGCTACTGCTAATGTGATTTTGGCAATCAATCTTTGTGAAATCAATTTTAACCCAAGAAGCTCACTGTGTGAACCCTACCGCATCCTCCGTGAGGCATGTAGCAAAATGAGAGGAAAAGGGAGAGGTACTAGGTCCGCATAACAAAGACCAAACCACTATGTTAGGTATTTAATGTAATTGGCTATTCTGTGAACAAAAATGACTAAAGTTGATATGTTGTAAAAAGTCAAGGTGTAGTGTGCAATTAGTGAAAGTTATGATATTTTAGGTCTAGGGTTCGAGAATGGGAAATAAGGAAAACCGGGGCCGCAATTTTGCTTGACTGTTGCCATGACTTGGCTCGAGTGTCATGAAAGTAACACTATCGCTTGCCTATCACCCAACTTTCACTTGAGCTATAAAAGGTTTTTTGTCCGACCCATTCATTCCCTAACCTATATATAAATACTTGAATGCCGTTGAACAGTTTTCTAAGGTTGATTATTGAGAAAAACTACTACTTTCATATTCTTATCATCCTCTGAAGCATTCAACTTTCATTGTTCAAATTGATCTATTTTTTGCAGTGAAAAACATCAGTTTCACAATCCAATACCAAACAGCTGTTTCCTACATATCTATTAGAGTTTCTGAAGATAAAGGGAAGGTGATTGGAGTTCCATCGTTGAAGAACGAGGTGTTCTTCGTAAATCCATAGGAGATAGACGATTTCACAAAGTTGGAAGTTGCTATAAGAGAGCGCAATCTAGGAGAGATTTGGAAACTGCAGCTGGGAGTTGGTGCAGGAGCACAGAATCTAGGAGAGTTGTTGGAACTGTAGTCAGGAGATCAGATAGTACATGTTGTCATTTAGTCTAGTAGACTGTAAGTTAAAAATAGCTTATAGTGGATTGTTGACTAGCAAAGTACTCGGAGTTTTCACCCATTTGGGTTTCTCCGTGATCAATTTTTGTGTTCAATTATTACTTATATAACTGCTATATTTCAACATGTGATTAATTGAATTGCATGTTTATTCATCTAGAAAGTTAATTAATAGTGACTTGTCGTTAGTTAATTATTATATAATTTTTAATTCCGCATAATCACCTATTTACACCCCTCTAGGTGTTGTTAGGATCGAACTACTTACTTTCACGCTCATCTCTCCAGGCTGGTCATAGGCTATCAAGATGCACATAAAGCGTGACACTTGTAACAAAATTAGTAATTAATAAGCCAACGAGGAGCCGCCATCTATCATCCTCTCAAAATGACAAAATTATCCTTAAGCTTTGGAGGGAAATTTATAAATTCTCTGTCATTTGAAGAGAAATGCATGTAATTCAAATATCTTCCTCCCAAATTGTCATTTCATCTCTAGTTTCAGTATAAGCATAATAACCATTGAGATTTGGAGGTGAAAACTCTGGCTAGGTGAGAGGATTTTTTAATCAGATTTTTATCGTCAACAAATTGGCATCGTCTGTAGAAAATTCTGAACATAGAAAACAATAAATTTCTCTATCAAAATCGAGAAGTCATTAGGATCTAAAAGGAAGAGTAAAATAGATGCAGACTTGAAGGTCATCAAAGCGTTAAATGCTGAAAAAGATGAATCTAGCAATGATTTAGTCAAAAGTGATGCTAATCCAAAGAGGAAGCGGGAGAAAATGACGGCGGGATCTCAGACGAATATTTCTCCTATTCAACGCCATCATCAGTAGAAAAAAATGCACACTACAAAAGAGATCCATGAGATGCCAGAAAACTAGGCATTAGCACCAGAAATTGCATACCTACTCGCAAAGTATAAGAATCCAAGGGCAAGTTGGCAACACAAGGATAGCAGGAAAAATCAGAGTCTAATGCCAATTTTGTCGGAAAAAACAATTGCGATTTCTGGATGTCACGAACTTTTGGTGTTGCTCTAGCAGAAACTAGAAAGGTGGAAAAAATACTAAGTAGCAGGTCCTCTATAAACGACGGTAAACTTGCATGATTGGAAGTGTAACCATTGGATGAATCGAAGGGTGGGGAACTATAGCAGTTCCTATAACGTTCGTTCATAGAAGAGACCTGAATACCAATATGCGATAGAGTAATATGAAAAGAAGTGTGTGATGTATCAACTATCAGCTGATTCAACCAATGATTGGCTGTCTCATCAACAAGAAGGCTTCGGAGTAAAACAACCTTCTACGAGGTTAAATAGTATCAAGAAAAGGGAAGGAGAGTCCCTTAAGAGTTACTATATGCGTTTTAAAGCTAAAATGCTTGCTTGTGAAATTACTGTGGATGAAGAAGCAAGTAATGACATGTGGAATGGCTTATTGATGAACACCTTCTTCTAGCTAGACCACTAAAAGGTATCTATATTCCTTCCCCCAATTAATAGATCCTATACTGAATGAGATCCAGGCAGAGGACATCCTAGAGAATCGAAGGATGATGAGGTAAAATCTTGTCGAAGACACATGCTTGCATTTTGATTATCTAGATCGTAGCGCTATAGCTCGAAGGAGTCCTAGGGCATGGTACATGCATTTGCCGCATCATCCTCATGGAATATCAACATGTCTTGCCTACCTTCTAGAAGACAGAAAGCAAAATTCTACAAAATCCTCTATACCACATGACATGATATAGATATGGGTGCCATGAAGTGCTCAAAATGGCTAGGATGCGGAGTGAGCAGAAAAGTATGTGGTCATACTAGGATATCAAAGGCCTAATATTCATTATAGAAGGCTTGCTCAAGGTCATCGCACACATTGGTCAACGGTGCAAACTCCCAACACTCGTGCGGAGAGATTACTTTCATAATTAAAGCCCTTTATGTAGTAGAATGTATGAACACTATAACAAATGTTACTTTTTACGGCACACGTTTACGGCGTGCATCTCGGCATGCTGTAAAAATATACTATTTAAGGCATGCGATATATGTATGCAGTTAAAAATCGATTTCTTAAAGAATTTACGGCGTACATTTTTTGCACGCCGTATTTAATCAGTATTTACGGTGTGCTTTAAGTGCACGTCGTGTATGGTAAAAACATCGGCATTTACGGCGTGCATATCTAGGCCATAAATGCCGTTCATTGGCCCAACTACTACGGCATGCTTATGA